AGGGCAAGAAATGCTTTGGTGGTTGTTGCAAATTTTATGAAATTTCACTGAGTTGATGTTGCTCAGTTGTTCCAAATTCATCCATTGGTGGAGTTCTTTGTGGGTTTGTCGGGTTGTTTTTTGTTGTTGTTTTTTTTGCAGCTGACAGATTATATTTTGCTAAAACCAGCCACAAAGATAAAGACATAACTGGGGACAAGCTCCCCAAATGGTTACATTTTCACAAAGATGTGATTTCTCACTCTTGTCCCACCAGTGATCGTTTTTCCACCTGGCCCTGCAACACACTGATGGATCCCACATTTTTTGCCGGCTTCCCTTTGATTAACTAAAGCCCAGATCTTGTAACCTGATTAATTCAAGTGGACCCTGTGCCCATATGGAGCCCTCTTGGGGCTTTGCAGAGATTCAGGGCTCCACTCTCATGAAACAGATTTTGAAGGATCAGGGCCCGAGAGTTTGTTTTGTTTGTAATCAGGGTGATTTTGAATTTCTGTCGCTCGCTAAGTATCCCACACCTGGTCCCGCTGAACAGACTGAGCCTAAACTTCTCAGACAATTGAATATTTTTTTTCCTTTTGGAAGAGGATGTGTAATTTCTATTACATGCATTGTTTACAGATGAGATTAGATCTGGATCATCATAGCAACCTCACTGCTGAATTGGAGAGACGAGAATGCATTTCATGTGCTGTAGAGATGTGTGACCTCACTCTGAAACTGTATCTCGCAAGGATTCGGTCAATAGGTGTCTGCAAATCATATTCCGAAGTAGGGCAAAGTAGGTCAGATCCGGAAGCAGGGCTCCCCCGCGGCCTGTGAAGTAGAGCAGGGCAGCAGATGTGATTCCCAGTGCTGTGCTGGCACTTGCAGCTGAGGGTGTGGATTCCAGATTCACCCTTTCCCTGCATTCTTGCTCATTCAATCGCTCGTCCCATACCTGCAGCTACATTTATAGCCTTTGGGCCTGACTCCCTGCTACTGTGCATCATGTGCAGTCATGGATACCTCGGCTGAAAACTGCTGCTCTTCTGATTCATTATACACCTACTTTGCACAGGGGTAAATGGCTGTGCAGTGGAAGAGAGAATCAGGCCTTTCAGCTCTGCACCGTGTCCTTGGTCCAAGCGCTGCAGGTGGCAAAGACAGACTTCACTTTATAGGTCACATTTTATAACAGCAGCAGCAGCACTTTGTTCCGTGGCTGGCCTTCTCTGTGGCTTCTGACTGCTGGCGTGCTAAGGTCTTCGCATAAGATACCAACCCAATTTTCGAAGAAGTGGGCTGTAGTCCACGAAAGCTTATGCTCTAATAAATTTGTTAGTCTCTAAGGTGCCACAAGTCCTCCTGTTCTTCTTTCAACCCAATTTTGTGTAGCCTTGGAAAACACATTCCCCCCTCCAAGGAATGTCCATAGTTTGCTTGATCTCCTAGGTTGCTAATGATTGCTTTGTGACCTGTATTGTGGAAAATTGATACATGTGGCTAGGATGTGTTGCTCCATCTTCTTCGCCTCTCCACCTCTGAGGTAGCTTCAGCAACTCTACCGCATGGACTAGCTTTATCCGTGTGACACGGCCTTCACTCCAACACATTTTGAGACAGCGGCAGTGACAATACTTGGCATTGAAATAGCACTTCACATGCGCAAAGCAATGCATAGACATTAATCAATTACAAACACCCCTGTGGGATAGGGAGAATTAGCTAAAAGTGACCAAATTCTGGACCAGACCAATTATGATCATTCATCATTTCAGCTGCTTGTCTCAGATCCGTCAGATGGATCTGATGGGAGGATTTTGCCATTAGAGCCCGTACATTGTTCTCAAACAGAGCAGTTAGATTACAGCAAGGCTAAGATTAGCAGTTTAAGAGGCCACATCTCCAGAGTGCAGTCTGAAGCAGAGCGTCCCTCTATATTTGTGGATAAGAACCGTAGCTGGCAATCCCACAGTGGTTTCCTTTGTTCCTGGACATTCGAATGTATCCTTTGTCACCGAAATATTCACCCCAGCTGTTGGAAGGAGAAAAAACACAGAATTAAACATTAAGAGAATAAAACATCTTTCTTTATAGACAGGGTTCCCCTCCCCCATTTTCTCATGTGTTTCAAGCTGTTTAACAAAGTGCATCCAATTCATACTAGTACAGACACATACATGCACAGCTCTACACAGCTCACTCATGCCCCACGCATATCCCAGGAGCACGTTAGTCTATAGATAAATACGGCTCAGTGATGGATTTTCTTTTACCTGTTTTTCACAAGCCAAAAGTCCTTCCCGTCCAGGGTGCCATAGCCGATAGCTAGAACCGCATGATTCGTGTCACCAGTGCATCGTGGATCATCGTAGACTCCTGGAAGGAAGGAATGCGCAATCACGTGGGAGAAAAAAACCCAGCAGGGACTTCTCTGCTCAGTAAAGTTGTTGTCAGCAACAGCACCCACATGGGACCAACATGCCTCTAACCTGGTCCCCTGTAAGGGGGTAATAACAACAATCCCTCACTCTTTTCATCAGTAGATCATAAAGCAGGTCAGTTTCATTATCTTCATTGTGCAGAAGGGGAAACTGAGGCACAGAGTAGGCAGTGACTTGCCCTCGGGCTAGAACCCACCTCTCCGAAGCCCCAGTCCAGTGCACTGTCCACTGGGAAGTTTAATTTCCATGGCCTGTACAATCATTGAAAGGCTCCATTACCCCACCCATCCCGTGAGTTATTTCGGTATCCCAATGCCCATAAATACCGGGAAGGAATCTTCCTCCCACTACGGTCCCCTCACAATGTTCCCTTAAAAGCCCCAAATCCAGTACTCCCCCAGCACAGGAACCGAGTAAGACAGTCACAAGCTGTCTTAGGAAGCCCCGTTCCGAAAGCTCTGGCCTAGGGGGCATGCCAGCCAGCCAGGATTAGGGTCTACAGCAATTCTGTCTGGCGCTTGGGAGTTTGCCATAATTTATGCACCATCCAAGGCTGTCTAAATTACGCCAGGAGCCACCTCAACCCCAGAACTGGGCTGAACGGCCATTTTAGAGCCGCCCTGGGCTGAGTTTGGTGCTGCACAAAATTGCAGCCACAATATCTGACAGTGCCTGGAATACAACCCAGTCAATACTCATTAAAAAAAAGCCCAGGTTAATGTAAGCCACGCCCACTCAGTGGGGCGTTCTGTCCCCCTCTAGTGGTGTTTCGGCCACAGAACGGTTGATGAGCCTGCCACAGCCTTGGCTAAAAGAGGTTGGGTCTTTTAGCTCCAGAAAGAGAGCAAGAAAGGCTCATGCGTTAAGCTCCAGAAGTCCCAGTCCCTGCTGCCCACCCCAGCGCACTGGCATTACATTAACATGAGTGAAGGGTCCACACTGGGGTGCTATTTTAATGACACCCCGTAAGACACCAGCAGCGATTGAACCCGGGGTCATTAGCCCTTGGAGCACCCTTTGAGCTAAAGGAGCATCTCCGGTCATTTGTTGTTATTATTAATCTGTGTCACAGGAGCACCTACCAGCCCCAGACATAGACCAGGGCCCCATGGCGCTAGGCACTGTACAAACGCAGAACAAAAAGATCATCCCTGCCCCAAAGAGCTTCCAATCTAAGGGTATTGCCAAACTGCACACTGGCAGCATATAGACTATATACACTCCACACACACTCCACACAGATATAAACAGCAGTGTAGACGGCTTAGGGGAGTAAAGACACACCTGAACCCTTAGGGTATATGCCCTACACAGCTCTCTACAGGTCCCTCCAGGGGAAGAGCACGATGTGCGCGTCTCCTCAGTAACAAGCTGCAGAACAAATAGCAACTTCCTCCACATTCCTCTTTCAATTTAAAGAGACAGTCCACAGAAAGCAAAGGCATCACTGCTTCAAACTATGTACAGCACCGGGCGCGAGGTGTTGTAGCTTAGAGAATGTACCTGATCTGTACAGGAAAAACGAAGGCTGTTTCGCATCTATGGCGACGGACACAGGTCCGATATTGGCTACGGCATCCTTCAGGGCTGCTTCATCGGCATACGGGAGCTCAACGAACTTGGAGCAGGTGGCGGCTCGTGTGGCAGGGTTATAGTGACACGTTCCGTTCTGGCAGGGGCAAAGAGCAGATGAAACAGGGACATTTCAGCCTCTCGCATGAACATCCAACCCACTCGCAACTTTTGTTTTTATCTCCCTTTTATTCCACTCTGTCGTCTGAATCCCTCTCATTTCTTAGATCACTGCTGCTCCCTCTGGAGCGTTCCTTCTGCCTCTGGGCATCGAGATCATCGCTGAGGGACTAATGGATTTTTCAGTTCAGGGACTTACCCGGAAAAACAAACAAATGGAAGAAAACAAAACAAAACAAAAACCTAAAAACACCCACTGGTTGGTTTCAAACAAAAATTCCATTTTTTTCAGGTTTTTTCGCTGAAACGAAAAATCGAAAAAATTTCATTTGGTTCAAATGAAACATTTCGAAGGTCATTTCATTTCCGAATGATCTGTCAAAATAGATCTTTTTGACATTTCCTGGGGGAGGATATCAGGGAGGGTTTTGGCCGAAAATTTGCCAAATTTAGGTCAAATTCACAGATAGTATTGGTGCCCTGAAAAGAGCATTTTCAGCCAATTTTAATTCACCCAGTGTTAGTATCTCTCCTTTCCCATCACTCAGGTAAGAAGAAATATGAGGATTCAGCCATCAATGACAGCATATATTTCATCTATGGATTTATGAGCCTCCATGCCTCTATGACAGAGGGAAGTGTCATTAGCTGGGCTTCACAGAGAAGACTGAGGAACAAACAGAGCTAAGATTACAACCCAAGTGACCTGAGTCCAAGGCCCTCTGCTCTAGCCACTAGACACCACTCCCCACCCAATACTGGGATTAGAAGCCAGGAATCCTGACTCCAAGTTCTACTGCTCTAACCACTGCCTGAAGGCCTCTTCTCTTGTTCTTTGTGCTGACACAAACAGCGCAGGAAGACCCAGCAAAACAGGCCACAAAGAACACATTGCTACACACTCGCAAGACGAGATGCCAGCAACAGACTAAGAAAAGGACAATGGAGTCTCTGTATTTTGGGGGTTGTCCACACTGCATTTTAAACCTGGGGGAGGTGAACCATGTATATTTTAAATACTACTTACAGTCACACTATTTGAATGAAATTAGAATTG